TCATTAAAAGGTTTGATATTTGGTGGAATTCGAGTATCAATAACCATCGAATAAGTTGCTTGAATCTGTTTCATATATGTGATATTGTACCACCATCCCGTTCTTGACATGAGAAACCCACTTAACGGTGAACAACCAAGATATAATACTTTGAAAAATAAATATTTATTAATATTGTCAAGATATGTTGTATTCACATATAATACAGGGATTGCATGACAGGTAGCAGGCTCTGCTCCACAAGTGCAGAAGCTCACAGTTTGTGGAGAGTCGTCTAATACGAAACCTACTATAGTATATCCACGAAATTTAGCAATCACTTGACCATCATTGATTCTATCTATATAAAAATTTGTATTCAATCCATTGTAAAGAGGACTATGAAGAAAAATAAGTTTCGTCCAATTAAATGTTTGTACAAAATCATTGATTGTTGTACCAATAAATGAAGCCATCATAGCTTCAGTTTGTTGATTAAAACGTGATAAAGAAGGAACACGATCATTAATAAATGTAGTATTCATAAATACATCCTGTGCATCTGCAATGTTTGTTTTAGCTAATGAACAAAAAGCAGCTAAAAGTTGAAAATAAGAAGCACCCATTTTACGAACATCTCCAGCATACTCGGGGTCACTATCGGGCGGCAGACGAATCGGATCGAAAGATATTAGATAATGTAACCATTCTAATGAAACCACATCACTTGAGCAGACTTGGTGTAATACAAATGTTACATTAAGAAAAACGTTATTAGGAATGGATATTTCTGAACAAGGACAATACAATGTGGTTGGATGATCCTTATACAATTGTTTATAAGTATCAAGAGATGGATATGGAATTGTTATCACTTGATTTTGCTTTACAACAATGGTGTATACTCCAGCAGCAATGGATAAAATAACAATGAACAAAATGAAAAATCTTGTTAGGAGTTGTTCTCGATAGATGTTAGTAGGTGTACGATGTGTTTGTTTTTCAAAAAGATTTAAAGATATTATTGCTTGCCATAATTTATTTAATAAAAGTTGAATGCGAAGTTGTATACATTGCTCTGAAAAGAAAATGAATGATAAATTCTTTTATCAAAATACAATACTTCTTATGTCTAAATATTCGAAACAAGCCATTAAACTCATAAGAGATATGTGATTCGAGTCATCAAACATGCAGTAAATTACAAACCATTCAACCATGTGCACGGATGGTTTTGAATGTAAGCTGAATATTAGGTTTACATACATCTTCTCACTCACTTTTTGAAATAGAAGTTCTTGTCGGTTGTAAATTAATACATCGATCGATTAATCGATTATCAAAACTGTTGATTGGCTTTATCTCTGACTTATACTATAAGCCACTCTCAAGTTCCTAAAAGTCTATTCTACCTTACTTTGATTCTGTTCCATAGACGTTATGGTTGACACGTTTTCCATTGGTAAAATTCGATTTTTTCGACGTATGATCTTTGTTGCAACAAAAGATGCAATGTGTCGTATGATGAATGACAATATACCAATAGAGCCAGTAACAGCCGTGAAAATAAAAAAAATGTCAAAGCGTCTCGTATATGAATATGAGCAAAAAGGGCAATTACATTCTGAAAAATATTTATCAAATCGAATTTCAGTTATTGTTTCATCTATCATTGATTTATTAAAGATTAATTGTACTGTTGAATACATAGAAAAAATTTTATTCGATGTATTTGATAATGGTTGAATATTCATCGATAGTTGTCCATGTAAAACTGAAATACATGGTTGATTATAATAACATTCAAGTGTTGAGGCAAGTGCACCATCAACAATTAAACAATCTACTATCATTCCTGGTACATTAATTAAATGGCCATAACTATCATTAAATGTAGCAGATCGTGGGCAACCTTCAATATTTAAACAAGTACAATTACCAAATGTTCGAGCTGTCGTTTTTGGAAATTCCAATAAACTTAAATGTACTGGTGGATAACTTAAATAGAAATTTGTTTGTAAAGCTGATACAACTTGATTTCCACGCGCTATACGTTGAAGAGTAAGTAAATTACGAGTTGATATTGTTTTTGATAGACCTATTTGATTGTGAAGAGCGTTTTCAGCTTGAATTCGAATAACTTGTTCAGCAACTGCCGTCGGGGTGATAAAACGTGTGGTTCCAAAATTTGCCAGAACATCATTCCAACTTTTGTTACTTGCGATACATAAACCAGCAATTGTTTGCCAAAAAAAACTAAGAGTAATGCGAGCATCATCGATAGATTCCATTGAAATATTTTTATTTGTAAATAATTTTTCAATCCATGTCTGTTGAATAAATTCACTTGAACAAACTTGATGAAAACTAACGTTAGTAGTGACGAATTTGTCATAGTTTGTTGAAGATTTTGAACATGGACAATGAAGAGTATTCGGATACTCACGAATTAATTGCAAAAATTTCTCGTGTGTAGGTTTATATTCAATTTTGTCAACAGGTCGAACGATAAGTGCAACAGTAATAGTAATGATAGATACACATACAATTAATGCAATCAAATAAATACGAGTAGAAAGAAGTTCTTTTTCAAGAGTATGTTCATTACTTGAATGTTTTTTGTATAGATTCAATCCGAGAAATTTTTTCCATATACGATTCACTAAATTGCGTATCATTTTAAGACTCTCACCTGCGACTAAAACTAGATAGTATTCGAGTTTCACTCGCCTACGAAATGCGATGCGAATAGCAGGATTTCGAAATAACAGTTTTAAGATTCTCACAATATTATCTAGATGATTCATTATCTACTATCAGCTGCACTGTCAGCTGTGAAACAGTTGTTAGAGAAAAATGGCGCCTAACTTTTGCTTTTACTTTTCGTTTTAATTATCTCGAAATTTGAAAAAAGTCAAAATCGTGTTTTTGTGGCACTTCCTGTAAACGAACTAGACGTCCTATTGAAAGTCGAAAAACATGTCATATTAGTTCGATCTCGATATTTTATTCTTGCGTTTAAATGAGTAGTTTCTGATGTTCTATTGCTGAGATAATTGTGACACAAAATGACAACTTTGAATGCGTACGTCGAGAAAGTAAGAAAGAAAAAAAAATAAAAAGAAAACTCGCGCAGGACTACATAAATGCTTCTG